GTAGTAGTAGTAGTAGTAGTAGTTGTTGTTGTTCCTTGCAGTAGTGGTAGTAGTAGTAGTAGCAGCAGTAGTAGTAGTAGTAGTAAAAGTAATAGTAGTAGTCGTCGTAGCAGTAGTAGTAACAGACATACTATTCATAGTGGTAGTACTACTAGTACTAGTAGTAGTAGTAGTAGTAGTAGTAGTAGTAGTAGTCGTAGTCGTAGTCGTAGTCGTAGTAGTAGTAGTAGTAGTAGTAGTAGTAGTAGTAGTAGTAGTAGTAGTAGTAGTGACAGCCGTCGTAGGAGCTCTAGTAGCCGAACTAGTAAGATATAGGATGTACATTCGTCTGCTCAACATCACAAGATCTCAACTTTGATTCGTACTTGCCCCAGCGATAATGAAGTTCGGACTCGCCGCCCCTTTCCCCCGACAAATTCTGTCTTGGCCCAAGATTCTCAACTCTTTATTTCGGGTGGGGCACTGGGGTATGTTGAGATGACGCTGGACCACGGCGGCTCTCCCGCACGGCCCAAGTCCGCACAAAATCGGCCCATGGACCTCCGGGTCCTGACACCCTGGCGTCTCACCATTCTCGAACCAAGCGTTTTTTCCCTCACAGATCGATCCCGACCGAAAACTGGGTCAGCAAGATATGGTCCAGGGCTCTGAGAGAACCAACTTCGTGGACGCGCACGTTGGACAAATATTTGAACACGTCGGAACCGGTGAGGTGGGGCCAAAAACCACATTGACAGCGCCCAGAGAATCCCTCCCAGGACATCGGCCACCTCTGTAACTGACGGGGTTTCGAATTGTGCGGGGGGGCCTGTGCCAAGGGCTGTGGGGGCTCGAACGAGGGGAAGTGACCTCCCCAGGATAGAATCCTATTGGTGCTTGGCCGAGCTCTAAAAGAATCCTAATATAACTGGGTCGATCCAGCTCTACAAGAATCTGGCACTAGTTGGACCCAGCCCTGGTTGAATCCTACGAATGCTCGATCAAGCTCTAATGGAAACAGTCTTGGTATAACTGGACTAAACTCTACTAGCAACCTCGACGGGCTCGATCCAACACGAATAATATCCTGATACTTCTGGATCGAGCTCTAAATCAAGACCACGAAAGCTCGATCCAGCTCAGACACAAACCTACGATAGCTAGATCAAACTCTCTTGAATCCGATAAGGGTCCTATCCATCTTCAATGGAATCTTTCTAGGGCTCGGCCCAGCCTTGATGGCATCTTACTAAGGCTCGATCGTCGTCGTCGTCGCTGCCAGACGGCGCCAGCCCTTGCCGTCGTCGGTTGGAGGGGGTCCCGCCCACCCCGGTTCGAACTTCCCTCTCTTGCAATTCCGGGCCCCCCCCCCCCCGGTTCGGGCCCACCCACCCCTTGAGGAGGGGAGGGGGGCCCAGCTTGAACCCCCCTTGCAATCCAAGCACGGGGCTGGGACCCCCCCCCTTTCATGCGTCGACAGAACACTCTCTTTCTGAGCTAGGGTTCCTGGAGCCATCCAGGCCAAATCCTGACGTTTCATTCGCAACCATCCTGTGGTGTCGGGTGGTCCTCGTTTTGAAGCCGCAGCGCCCCGCGACATTCCTTCCTTCCTCCTCCCCCTCCCCCCTCCTCGTCATAATCGTCATCATCATCACAATGATCAGCAGCAGCAGCATAATCATCATGATCAGCATCATCATCATCAGCATCATCATCACCATCATAATCATCATGATCAGCACAATTATAATCATCAGCATCGTCGTCACCATTAGCAGCAGCAAGAACAGCATCATAATCAGCAAAAGTATCATCACCACCATCATCATCATCATGATCAGTAGAATAAACATCAGTAGCATCATGATCATCATCGTCGTCATCATCAACATCATCAACACGAGCATCATCAGCATCGTCACCGTCATCTTCACTACCTCGCGTTACCACCATCATCATCAGCAGCATCGGCAGCATCACAATCCGCATCAGCATTACCATTAGCATCATCATCACCATCATCTCATCATAATGAGCATCAGCATCAGCGTCATCATTACCACCATCATCATCAGCATCAACATCAGCATCATAATCCGCATCATAATCGTCATAACTACCATAATCATTAGCAGCAGCATCATCAACAACAACATCATCGTAGTCATCATCATCACCATCATTGTAGTCATCATACTCATCATCATCATCGTAGTCAGCATCGTCATCATCAACATCTTCAATATCAGCATCATCAACATCGTTGTCATCATCATCACAACCATCATCACCACCACCACCATCATCATCATCATCACGATCCGCCGCACGAGCATCAGCATCAGCATCAGCATCGGCGTCAGTTTCAGCGTCAGCATCGGCCTTCGCCGCACCCATTTCGACACATCCCTCACAAGTTTCGTGGTCCCACAGGGAACTCCACCAAAGGCCCCAGAGGGAGGGCACGCGTGACACCACAGCGCCTATTTCGGTACACCGCTCATACGCTTCGTGCACCATAGGGAGCTCCGCCAAGAGCTGCAGTTGGAGGATTCGCGTGGCGCCGCCGCACCTATTTCGGCACACCGCTCACACGCTTCGTGGCCGCATAGGGAGCTCCAGCGGAGGCCCCACTGGGAGGGCCCGCATGCCGCCACCGCACCAATTTCGGCACACCCCTCACAGGCCCCACAGAGAGCTACATCGAAGTCACCATTAAGAAGGTTCGCATGGCGCCACCACACCCCTCTCACACGTTTGGTGGCTCCGCAGGGAGCTCCACCAGAAGCCCCCGTGGGAGGACCCGCATGGCGTCACCTCACCAATTTCGGCACGCCTGTCACGCGCTTCGTGGCCCAATGGGCAGCTCCAGAGAGAGCCCTAATGAGAGGGTTCGCGTGGAACCGCCGCACCTATTCCGGCACACCGCTCTCACGATCCACCGAAGGCTTCAGCGGGATGGCCCGCTTTTCTGTGACGTTGCTCCGCGCCCCGTCCTTTCTGTGGCGGACTACCTATGGAGAGAGGGCCGCATCCGACGCTATTCACAGTTTGCTCTTCCCCTCCCCAGTTCCGCTTGCCTTGCGGGACTCGCAGCTGCACATGGTTGGGTCCTTCGCAAGGCTGATTTGTTTTTCGCACTGGGCGTGTTCACCTGTTTTCGGGCCCTGGGACCCTCACAGATCGGTCTGGCTCGAACTCATGGTTCTGGTCGTGATTTTGTACGATGTCTGAATGTTTCGCAACGATGGATCTCATGGGGGGTGCGTCGAAATCGCTTGTACTACTGCATCTCCCGCAAAAAGGTCGCTACACAAGGGGGGTACACATTTGGGCCCCGGGTAAGGGTAACTGGGCGGAGCGGGGCACGTGAGGGCGGGAGCGCGCTGCGATCGCCATAGCACACGCAAGAGCAGCAGCATGAGGGGGGGGGCCAGGCCTCCTTCCCCAGTGCGATCGTCACTGTCACCCTGGGAGGGGGGGTGGCTGGCCAGGGTAACGACTGTTACGCGCCAAAAGGACAACAAAGATGGTCTCAAAATCCATCCGCGCAAAATTGGTTCACGGACCCCTCACGGGGCCCATCCTGATCTCTTTTCCAATGCGTACATGTCCGGCCGTGGCGAACCCAAAGAAGGGCGAGAAGTACCAATGAGGGCCGCCGCAAGGGGTCACGGGCTGGATCAGGGACTTTATGCCCTCAGACTCGGGATGGTTTGAACTAAGTAGTCACTGATCGAATCTGCAGATTCACGCCCCTGCTGAATGTCAAGCGTACAGTCGGGCTGCTGAAGTAAGGGACGCTAAAGAAGGAAAGAAGCCCTATCTTCGCACCTGAAGATCCTGGGTGCACGATGAGGGCATGAGGAACAATTGCGGAATGCCCTAAGGAACAGCAAGCTCCTTCCGAAGCCAAAGCGGGCCTCGTTTCAGCGTCTTGACCGTATCGTTCCAAGAAAGATTCTGTATTTACGCTGACGGTTTGGGCCGCCGCTGACACTGCTCCGAGCCTGCGTCACCGGGCTCAGGTGCCCGCCCCGGCCGCTGAACATGTGGATCACCACCGCCCGCATCGGATCCAGCAGCACGACCTCCATCTCCGACGACACGGCCAGCAACGCGCCGCTGGGGCAAATGCTTGTGTACGAATCGCGATCGCGCCCGTGACCGGACCAGCCTTCCCCATTCTCTAAGACGAAGCCAGAACGAGGATCAAATCGGGAGAGAATGAATCGATAATCTCTGAGATCTGGCGGCTCTGGAGGATGTTCCGAGTGCCGCGGCCTTCTCAGAGCGTTTTGGAACGCTCTGGAACATATTTATCCTCGCCCTAGCCCCTTCCGAATCTCCCCGACCCCCTGGTCACATTACGGTTCGCCCTGGCGCCGTCTGGGAATTACTAGTGTACATCACCAAATCATTTGGTAATAACCAAAACGCGAAGAATATGATAACGAGCGACCCCTCACACATTTGAGCTATCAAAATGCATTGAACACCCCCGTAACCAAAATTGCTCTGGAACGGCGCTCGCATAACCAACTCGCAACCATCTTTTCAATATTCGTAACAAAATCATAACCAAATTACATGAATCGTAACCAAATAATAACCAAATGGCAACCAAATCATAACCAAATCAAAACCAAATCATGGCCAAACCGTAAGTACATCGAAACGACCATGTTCGACATTGCCGATGGGGCTGAAGAAGGGGGTGGGCGAAGCAGGAGTGAGTCTGCCCAAGCTGGTACACTGTGGTTTCCATAACGCTGGCTAAAGGACTCAAGAACAGCCCCAAGTGTTGGCTTAGCGTTGCCACGGAGCCTCCAAAATACGCCCCTGACGTTGCGAAATCAATGGACATGCAGTGTGCCTGTCAGGCAGATGTTCGCTGTATCGCCTAATTGATCGCCCCCGATGGGCCTTTGATGCCCCGAGATGTTGCAAGAGATGGCTGAACGTCCCCCCCGAACAAATAGTAAGAACAACGCATGAATAAGGAGAGGGAGGAGTCCTCCTCCTCCTCCGCATTCTCGTCCTCCTGCAGTCTGTCGTCTTCCTCGTCCTCGTCCTCCCCTTCCTCCTCATCCTCCCTTGTCCTCCCCGTTCCTCCTCCTTCTCCTCCTCCTCGCCCTCCTCTTCCTCTTCCTTTTTCTTCATCCTCCTCATCTTCTCCTCCGCCCCCTCCTCATCCTCTTTCTCCTCGCACGTGTCACACCGCCCAGTGCGGCGCACCCCTCACGAGGATCGTGCAAGGTAGTGAGCTCGACACACGTCTCCAGCGGGTTCGCCCGCATGGAGCCGTCGCCCCCATTTCGAAACACCCATTGCGAGGATCACGCCCCGTAGGGGGGCCGGCCCAATCATGTGCGTCCGCATGGCGCCGCATTCCCTGTCCTGGCACATATTTTACAAGAATCGTGCCCCATAAGGAGCTCCACCGATGGCCCCACTGGGTGCTTCCGCATGGCGCCGTCATTCCCATTTCAACATACACCTCACAGTGATCACGCACCGTTCGGAGGTCGACCTATGCCCCCAGCGGGTGCGTCCGCATGGAGCCGTCCCCGTGTCGGCATTCCCCTCTCGAGGAGTGCCTCATAGGGAGCTCTACCTATGGCACCAATAGGTGCGTGCACATGGTGCCGCAGTCCTCATTTCGGCATACTCCTCAGAGGATCGTGCCTCATTGGGAATTCCAGCTATGGCCCCAGCGGGTGTGTCCGGATGGTGCCGCCATCCCCGTGTCGGCATATTTTCCATGCGGCTCGCGCCCCTCATGGGTCTCCACCTATGGCCCTAACCAAGCCGTCCGCATGGCGCCGCCGCTACCAAATCTGCCCCGTAGGGCTTTCCACTGGGAAGTATTCCGCGTATACGCTTTCCCCGCCAATTGCGGCACAACCCTCGGGCGAGGCGTGCCAAATGGGAGCCCTCACCTGGCCCACTGGTTGTGCTGGCATGGCTTCCCTGCCCATTTCGGCACACCCCTCACGCGGAGCGTGCCCCTCAGAGAATTCCACCAATGGGCTGAATGGAGGTGCTCGCACGGCGCTGCCGCCCCCACTTCGGCACACCCCTTGCGTGGATCGTCTCCTCAGGAAGCTTCACTTCATGTGCTCCCCGTCGAGTTCAGCACTTTCCTCACAAGCATTACGCCCCACAGGGAGTTCGGCGCCCTCCTGCCCACCTCTTCAGCAGCTCCCGATCCTGACTGCCCTGCGGCGCGCATCGTAAAAAGAACATGCCAGCATCAGGCCTGGCTCTTCGCAGCATTAACTATCCAGCTGCCTACGGCAAGTCCCGCCATCGTTCCCGGGTTGTACGTTATAGGCATCTTGGATGTTCGCTGGGATATCATGGGAGGCCTCTCGGGGGCCTGTTTGCAGTTTGCAGGCATCTTGGGAGCCGTCTGGGGGGCCTCTTCAGGAGCTTCATTTTGGCCTCTAGGGGGAGGGCCTCTTGTGGCCTCCTGGTGTCTTTGCAGGGGGCTTTGCATGGTATTGCAAGGTCTTTGCAGGGTCTTTGCATGGGGGCCTTTGCATGGTCCTTGCAGGGTCCTTGCAGGGGGGTGCAGTCGCCTGTCCGCGTCCTGCGGAGGGGGGGGGCCTTTGGAAGACTGCAGAAACCCTCCCAGACAGCACTTGGGCACTTCATCCGTTTCCATGACAGACCCCATTTGGCCAAATCGTAACCAAATCATAACCAAATCGTAACCATATAAGATCGCAACCAAATCGTAACCAAATTTGATACAGCGTAACCATCTCGTAACCAAATTTGGCATGCCCGTAACCAAAGCATAACACGCTCCCACGTCGTAATCAAATTTCGCGCAGCCAAATCAAAGCAATGCACCCCTCTCATACAGAATTGGCTCAACAAGAAGACGATTTGGTTACGCATGCGCACGCAAAATAACCATTGTAAACTGCAATGCTTTAGGCGCGTGATTTGGTTACGACATCTTGTCTTCTAGGGATCTAGGCGCGGGAATCCTGACGTGACTGGCCCTCTTCCCCACCCCAGACCTCACCCCCCGGTCGCGCTCATTACTGGGGCAGGTACCGATACGGCTACTTCCTGGACCTCTCCCGGGGTGCGTTCTGACCTGGATTCTGGAAGCGAATCCAACAATGGCGACGAGCACCTCCGAGGAGACCCAAAAAGGGAAGAACGAGGCGGTACTTTGTCCTCCTCCGAGTTATCAGGGGATACGAAACAAAGATCTCCTGGTGGAATAGGCGACGGGCCCTGGGTGCTTCAGCGGCAGCTCCATGAGGTACCTCGTGACCTCGCGGGCGGCGAGCGCACCCTGGGGTCCCTGCGCTGCAAGTGTTTCACACCTGAGCGTCGGAAAGAAGCTGATTTTATGCTAAATGTCATATCGACCTTACGCCGTGGCTTGCAGACCGCCAGCGTGGCATCCCCGCGTGGGGAAGAGGGCGCTAACGCGCGGCCTTACAAGGGCAGCTGACGCGCGCATGTCGGTTCAAACGACCCTTGTATTCCATCGCTCACCTGGCGTGTTTGCCCAGTGTCGGACCCTGGGACCATCAGAAATCGATCCAGCTCGAGGAATGCTGCAGACAAACGTGCTCCAGAGAATGGTGATCCTTCGCGACGATACTTTTGTTCGCAACGTGGGATTTCACGGTATCCATATTGACGTCATCGCGGGTCTGGACCCTGGGGCGCAATCCCGTGGATACAGGGTCGCATGGATATACGTCCCGCGCGGGGCATCCACAACAGAAAACGCCCCGTGTCCGCGGGGTCGCGGCACCAGGGCCCCTGGCCTGGCCTGCGAGGCCATGGTTACCGACACCCAGACCTCATATGTCTTGACTTCTTCCTGTCTTAGCCCCCAGAGCTCTGGACATTTCCGTCCTAAATAATTTGTTGACGGTCCCGAGGCCCCGCGAGGGCCCATAGGCGCCGAAAACGACAAGCCACAGCTTAGATCCCCAACTTCCCCGTGCCCCAGAAAGGGAAAGCGCGTATGATCGGGCATCCCAACACACGGGTACTTGCTTTGTACTCAGTCAGCGCCAGTTCAGAGGCACACAGGAGCCCCCCTTTTGTGCCCAGTGCGCTGGCCGAGCGGCCCAGGCAGAAACCACCTCCAAAACGGGCAGCACGTGGCCCTTCCGACCCGGGGAAGACCGGCCCCGCGGAAGGTGATGGAGGGATTTAAATAGGGAGTCAGAAGAGCAATTCATGTTTTGGCCCAAATTGTCACAAAGGAAATATACTCAGAGGGACGACCACGTGCAATTCACAAATCCTCTGGTCTACCACCTCCTGATTCCCTGGTTATGGGGCGAGGGAGGATCAGGGGGGGAGGAACACGTGCACGATCTCCATCCTGGACTCGGCCACCTGAACTTCCCTCGATCTGTGACGACACCGACCGTTTATGGATGATCTGTTATCGGTCAGTTCAGAAGATCCGTCTCGACGTTGTTCGATACGGTGGAGGTCCGGGCATCTTCCCCTCGAGCATTGGCAACACCCCCTTTAGCAACACACCCTTTAGAGAAAACCGCTGGGGCACTCGACGGGTGCGCGAGGCACCGCCTTCCGAGTGCACCCGGGCAGAATCGCTACTCGACGTCCCCAAATAACCGAACAATTCTGGCGAAACGCACGCCGATTGGCGAAAGCGACCAGGGACTGCACTGGCACACTTGTGCGCCCTGCCGAATGAACCCGCGCAGATGTCCTCAGTCGACTTGTTAGCTGGGTGGGTGTTCTCTCAAGGCCAGAACGATGACCGTCTGGGTGGTCAGGTGGTAGATCCGGACCACGTCCTGCAGAGCCACGGCGATCTGGAAGCCCTGGGGGTGCACCGCAAGCCCGACGGGCGCCTCGTCCAGCACCAGGTCGATCTCGGCGGTAAAGGCGTTCGGCTGGCCCCGCATGTCCTCCGACGGGTAGTTCCAGACCTCGGAGGAGGGCCAGGAGACACACCCCAGACCCCCTCGCGTCTGGGAAGAGCACGACGGGGCAATTTGGTCGCTCTTCTGCCTCTGCGAGCCCTCGCCGGGCCCCGGGACCATCAAAAACGTTATGGAAAGCCGGTCCTGGAGGATGGGTCGAGACTCTTGGTCGCGTTGTGACAAAATCACGACGTCGGGGGTGTGGCAACGGCGGCTCCCCCCGCCTGGCCCAGATCTGGTCAAATCGGCACCCGGACCCCTCCGAGACGGGCCCAGCCGTAGCGACGATGGGCGGCGCGCAGAAGGGGTTATAGGGGGAGGGGGGATGGCTTCTTCGAAAGAGGCTGCTTCTTAAAAGGCGCCGGCCCTGTATCTAGAGATACGGCCCGCGCCTTCTGAGACGCCGGGGTGCTTCTGAGAGGCCTTCCCCCCTCCCCCCTACAGCAGGGCCCCGACCACAAGATCCCACTGTACCCCACTGTATACCGCCCCCTCTGCGCGTGGCCGCGACGAGGAGCCTCCAGGAGACCCGGAGGACGGAAAACGCCAAGGAAGGCAGCCGTCGTCTCGGCCGGCCCCGAAGGACCCGCAGGTGCTCGTCGGCCCCGCACGTCGCCAGGAGGTTGCGGCTGGCGCTGACCCCCATGCCAGCGACGCGCCCGGTGTGGTGCCCGTAGGCGCCCAGGATGTTCGATGATCCGCAGAACGTGTGTTAGCGCCAACGCGTGCTTGCCCCCTGAGGCACTTCACCACGACGAAGGCGATGTGATGATCGACTGGTTGGCTTGAACGGGGTAAACACACATTGGGCTCACACACGTCCTGAGGACCATCGAGATGTTCACGGGCGTGAACGCCTCCAGCTGCCCCGAGGAGACCACGTCCGCTTGCCCCACTGGGAATGTACACAAGGACCAGGACTCCTCGGAGGCTGCACAATCCCGGAGACATACGAGGGAGGTTCCTGGGGGGGGGGGCCGGGGCCGGGATCTCCCATGTGTGGCGGATTCTGGAAACCCTGAACCCCAAAAAGATGTTAATCTCTTGGGGGCGCATCTTTTACTTCCGCCACCTTTCGCCGGCCTTCCACCGGCGGAGGCGGCCTCGTTCTACTTCCGCCGACCGTCCGCCGCCTTCCGCCGAGGAAGAGGTGACAACTCCTTCGATCCTCGAAGGCAAGTCTCTTCTTGGAACGCCTCATGTGTGTGTGTGTTCATGTGCACCGAGAGAGATAGAGAGAGAGAGAGACAGGCAAAAAGGGAGTGGGCGTGGAGTGCTCGCGAAAACTTCCTCCACTGATCGGGATGCTTCGCTGGTGCAACGCCGATGTTGGAAAAATATGCTCTTCGACTCCTGGGTGCTCTGGCCTGGCCCCTGGGGCTTGAAGTGCGCCTTCCCGAAGACGGTGCCCTTCGAGCGCGACAGCAACGGGGCGGCGCTAGCGGCCACGTCGTCTCCGCGGTCCGCCACGCACGAGAGCACCACCAGGTTCTGCGGGTCCTCCGGGCCCGCCGCCATGGACCAGATGGTGCCCTCCTCGGGCGTCCGGAACACGCCGAACGGCTCCACGAACGAGTTCGCCTCTTGGGAGACCAGAAAGCACCCAGATCATCCGATTCAAATTATTTTCGGCTGCGGTTTGGGCGCCCGTCGATTTTCGGTCGCGACCGAATACCTGACCTTTCGGTCGCGTCGAACACTTGCGAATACGTGAAAATGTTTGAGGGTGAAATTCGGTAGCGGGGAAGCGAAATCCGACAGCGGGAATTCGAGTTTCGTTACCACGAGAATCGGTAACGCGAAGAACGGCAAATCTGCGCAACCACCACTGCCACCGACATCCGCGCTCGTCGAAAGTCAGCAATGGCGATCACGAAATTCGGTAACGGATCACGAAATCCGGTAGCGCCGAAACGAAATGCGGTAGCGACGACGCGCTCAAATTCGGTAGCGCCGAAACCAATTTCGGTAGCGCGCTACTGGCTTCCAAGCGCAATTTCGATCGTGCATGCAATTCGCTCGGGTTCTGAACGATCATCTGCGGTATCTCGGTTGCGACCGGATCTTGCGAAGCGCTACGGGAAAAATCGGTGCGCTCCGACCAAAATACCGAAGCGAATCCAGCCGTGGCGACGCGGACCTCCCAGGAGGTCCCCCAACAAAGATACCAGAACGAGGGAAGGGTAGCGGTAGCGGCACCCTTTCCTCCTCCGAGCCTCGACCTTGAACACCGTGAGGTAGCCGTGGTTCCAGCCCACCACGAAACCCAGGGACCACGGGGCGAGGGCGGTGAGCTTCAGGTCGTCGACATCGGGCTCCGGCCTGTCCGCCATCCCAAGGCCGCTCGAGAGCAACTTCTGCGGCCCCAAGGCGCTCTGCCTGCGCCGGACCTTGCTGCCGCTGGAGATCGCGAGCTTCGCGTCCACCGTCTGCTTCAGCTCCCCGTCGTCGAAGACGTAGGCCTGGCCTGCAGGAGCCACGACAAGTGCACAAGCATCAACGTGCCGAGGCCCGAGCGAATTTCTTGGATAGGCGCTAGGCCCTCCCAGGCGCGCTCTGCGCGCCGGGGGGGGGGGGTCCAGCGCCCATCCAAGAAAACCATGCGGACCTCCGAAAGTTGATTTTCATGCCGCTGCTTTGTGTTATTCGAGGGCCGCTCTCAGAGGCCACGCAGAGATAGGCCCCGACCACCCAGCAGTGGTCCACGACGGTAACCTGCTTCTCCGCGCCGCGCTTGAAGAGCGCCTGGCTCTCCTCCAGTATCGACTCCGCGGCCTTTGTCTTATGTAAAAACGTAGCACCCAGCAATTGCGGATAAGAATGAGGGGGCGGGCGCGGGCGACGCGGGCGTCGAGCCGGCGGACCTCATGGCCCTCACCTTCCCTGCCGATGGCGCCCTCCTCCCCCTCCTCCTCCTCCTCCTCCTCCTCCTCCTCCTCCTCCTCCTCCTCCTCCTCCTCCTCCTCCTCCTCGGTGGGCCACCCGGAACGAATGCAAAAACAGCCCGCCGCAGGCGCCGAATTTTTGGCTTGTTCAGTGAACGTAGTTTGGGTCGCGGGTGGGTCGCGACCTCTCCACCTTCACCTGGAGGGAGTTCAAAAACAGCCCGCCGCAGGCGCCGAACATTTTGTTTTGTACACTGAACGCGGTTTGGGTCCCAGGTTCTCCATCTGGAACGAATGCAAAAGAAACCCGCCGCAGGCGCCGAAGATTTGGCTTGTTCAGTGGACGTAGTTTGGGTCGCAGGTGGGTCGCGGGCTTTCCACCTCCAGCTGGAAGGAATTCAAAAACAGCCCGCCGCAGGCGCCGAATATTGTGATTTGTACACTGAACGCGGTTTGGGTCGCGGGTGGGTCACAGGTTCTCCACCTGGAACGAATGCAAAAAAAAACCGCCGCAGGCGCCGAAAACTTTGGGTGGGTCGCGGGGTGGGTTGCGGGTGGGTCGCGGGCGAGGTTTGAGTCGCGAGTGGGTCGCAGGTTCTCCACCTGGAACGAATGCAAAACAAACCCGCCGCATGCGCCGAAAATTTTCGGTGGGTCGCGGGGTGGGTCGCGGGTGGATCGCGGGTGGGTCGCGGTGGGTCGCGGGTGGGTCGCGGGTGGGTCGCGGGGGTCGCGGGGGGTCGCGGGGTGGGTCGCGGGGGGTCTGGGTCGCGCTGGGTCGCTGGGGGGGGTGGCTCGCGGGCGGGTCGCGGGGTGGATCGCGGGTGGGTCGCGGGTTGGTCGCCGGGTGGGTCGCGGGTGGGTCGCGGGTGGGTCGCGGGTGGGTCGCGGCTGGGTTGCTGGGGGTGTCTCGGGGTGGCTCGCGGGCGGGTCGCAGGGTGGATCGCGGGTGGGTCGCGGGTGGGCGCGGGTGGGTCGCGGGTGGGGTCGCGGGTGGGTCGCGGGGTGGGTCGCGGGTGGGTCGCGGGTGGGTCGCGGGGTGGGTTGCGGGTGGGTCGCGGGGCGGGTCGCGGGTGGGACGACAACAAACAACAAACAACAAACAACAAACAACAAACAACAAACAACAAACAACAAACACCACCACCACCACCACCAACAACAACAACAACAATCCGCATCGCGGACTTCCACTTCAGCCACATACCCAGGGACAGTGAATGACCGTTCGGTTCAGCCCCCTCACTCTGATATACATAGATACATATATGTTCATATACAAACACATATACGATAAACATTGTGTTATGCATATACACATCAGAGCGAAGGGGCCAAACGGTCATTCACTGCCTCGTTGTTGTTGGTGCTGCTCATTATGCTGCTGTTTCTGCTCTTGTTGAATTCTCAGTTCTGAAAAATAATTATGGTTGATCCCCCCTCTCACCAGTGCTTACTGTTTCTTCTCAATCAAAAGTGTGCCCCTCGACGCTCGCACCCTGTTTTTTGACAGGGAAAACCTTCCTGCTCAAACTGGCCCCCTGGCCCCCGGGTTACAACAACAACGGCTCCCGCCTGAGACTTCCTTGCGATTTAGCCCGGACCCCCGCTCCCGTCCGAGACTTCCTCGCATCTTATTCAGGAATCGCGCTCTCGCTTGGGACTTCCTTTCAATGTATTCAGGAATCGCTCTCCCGGCGCTCTGGAGTCGCGCTCTCGCTGGAGACTTGCTTGCAACTTACTGAAGAATGGCCTTGCGTTGGAATTTCTTGCAATTTGCTGAAGCGCCGCGCTCCCGACACCCAGGCACCCAGGAGTCGCGCCCGTTCTGGCCCCATGTGCATGCCCTTCGTGGCCCCGCTGTCGCCATTTGTGTCCCCCTCATTGTCCTACGTGGCCCAGCTGCTACCCTCAGTGGCCCCATAGTTGCCTTCTGTGGCCCCGCATTATCTGCACTTCGTGGCCCCCTGTCGTTCGCGCTCTTCGTGGGCCCACAAGCATTCCCTTCGTGTCCCCGCTGTCGCCCTTCGTGCCCTACTTCGTGTCCTTGTGGCCCTGCTGTCGTTCTCTCTCGCTCTCGCTCTCGCTCGTCGTCACCGTCGTCGTCGTCGCCGTCGTCGTCGACGTCGTCGTCGTCGTCGTCGTCGTCGTCGTCGTCGTCGTCGTCGTCGTGGTCGGTCCCCTGTCCGTCCCTTTTTGGGTCGGGTTGACGGTCCGCGGCCGCCCCGCCGACGCTGCCGCTGGCCAGGCCGACGGTCCGCGGCCGCCCCGCCGCTTGCCGGGGCCTGGCCTGCAGGGAAGAAAGGTATACCCCCCAAAAGGGGTTCGATCGAAGACGAAGAGGGCGGGTATCGAGGGTTTGGGAAATACGCGTAATTGTACACTCGAGCATACAAGGGCGAACAGTCTTAAAATGATTGTTGTTGTTGTAGTTGTTGCTGTAGTTGTTGTTTTTGTTGTTGCTGTTGTTGATGTTGTGTCTGTTGCTGTTGTTGTTGCTGTTGTTTTTGTTGCTGTTGTTGTTGTTGTGGTTGTTGTTGTCGTTATGTTGTATAGGTTGTAAAAAATAAGGCGCCTGCGGTGGGCTTCTTCAGAGCCTCACAGACTGCCGACGTCCCCGCTGCCCTCCCACCACTCTTATCCGCAACTGCGGGGTGCTCCGTATATGTATACATTCTGTATACATCTATGTATATGTTGCACGCTGGCAGGTACTGCTGCGATATATATATATATATGTATATATATATATGTATATATATATATATGTATATATATATATAACACGATTATGTACATATAGCGGCCTTGAACTGCCAGATCCTCATGACCCCGGGCCCGCTCACGGAGAACAGGCTGGCGATCCGGGGGTGCACCTGGAGGCGGGTGATTGGGTGCTCGATGTCGTGGGAGATGCTGACCTCGGGTGTTGCCAGACGTGCCCCTGGCCAGAGGTGTCCCCAGAATTCCCGAGGAGCTCCAGGAGGCCGTCGGAGCACCCTCCACGGGGCCAAGAGGGCCGCAGGGGCTCCAAAATGGTGCGAAAAGCTGAAGACACCTTGGGCCAGGACCACCTGAGCCTTGTCGACCTCCCAGCGCCACAACGTCACCGTCGTCTCCGGGGCTGCCGCCGAGACGGAGAGCAGCACCTCGGGAAGAACAGCTAACATCGCAAGCATGAGCTGTCCCAAATCCGCGGAGATCTCTTGGATCGGCGCTGGCCCCCCCCCCTCCCCACGCTCGCGAAGAGCCGCCTGGGAGGGCCCAGGGCCGATCCAAGAAATCTGCGCGGACCTCCGAACGCTTGTGTTTACGCCGCGTCGTCTTCGGTTTCTTCTTCTTCTTCTTCTCCGTCTCTTTCTTCTTCTTATGTTTATTATTCTTCTGTTTCTTCTGTTTCTTCAGACGTGGCCACCTCACGGATCCTTGGCCCAGGACAGGACTTGCCAGGATCGGTGAGGTGAGGTGGCCAGCTTTCGTCGCTGGGACCCCGACGGAGGAGCCCCACGTGCCTGCGCACGTCGTGGCACCCAAGCCCCGATCGGCCAGGAATGGGCGATTGGGGGTCCGTGCTTCCCCTCCCTGAGCTCATCCCATGGGGAGAAAGGAGGAGGAGGAGGAGGGCGAGGAGGAGGAGGGTGAGGAGGAGGGGGGAGGCAGAGGAGGAGGAGGAGGAGGAGGAGGAGGAGGAGGAGGAGGAGGAAGAGAAGGCGGAGAAGGAGGAAGGGGGAGGGGGAGGCAGAGGAGGAGGAGAGGAGGAGGAGGAGGGAGGAGGAGGGGGAGGAGGGGAGGCAGAGGAGGACGAGGAGGAGGAGGAGGAGGAGGAGGAGGAGGAGGAGGAGGAGGAGGAGGAGGGGGACGAGGCGGATGAGGGGGTGGGAGGAGGGGGAGGACCCGCCCCCCTGTCAGCGCCCCAGACCTCCCCTCCGCTGGGCCTGGTGGCTTTCTGGCCATCGCTCCGGCTTCGGGCGACCGCTCGGGACGATCCGGGCACCCCCGAAGACGAAGCCAGGACGAGGGTAAATCGAGAAGTCGAAAATTTCCCACCACGACGACGACGACGAAGATAAATCGGGTGAGAATAAATCGAGAATCTCCGAGACCCAGCGGATCTGGAGGATGTCTCGGGCGCCGCGGCCTTCTCGGAGCGTTCCGAGACGCTCCGAGAGCGTTCTGGAACGCCCTGACACGGATTTTCGGCGAGGCGCAGCCGCTGGAAGGCGTCCCAAGGCTGGAAAACCGTAGGCAGCCGACGGAAACGCGCGGGAACCGAAACCTCGACCCCCAAGCCTATGCCCTCTATCGCTGCCCCCGAGCCTTGTTGTCCACAGGGAATGCGAGGCCCACGATGTTCAGCCGGCGATTCGCGGGCTGGAGCACCTTGAGGACGCGGGGCGCTTCCTGCCTACCCAGATGCATGCTCATCAGCCTCTCGGCCTTCGGCAGCTCCAGGATGCAGATGCGCACCGTGCCCTCCTCGAGCAAGGGGGGGATCTACGGCAAGATCGTGTCGTGTCAATCTCGGCCTTGGTCTTTAACATCGCATGGAACATTCAACCTTGAACAATCGGCAGCTGTTCGGCTGCCAGATCGTTGCATACTGTTAACCGGTTCTGGGCCACTGGCGGCGTCGGCACGGCACAATCCTACCGTATCCACACTTACCGCCTGGGCAGCCGATGTCCTGGGACCCTAAGGGGCGGTGGATCGGAGGCGAGGGGGCGAGATCGCAGTGAAACGGAGAGCCCCCCACGTGGAAATCGGCTTCGGCTTCGTGTTCGTGTCGCGCGTGCGGGCGAGGCGAAACTGCGTGGGCGGGCGAGAAGAATCAAGCTTCCTCTGACTGGGGCGCCACCGGGCCGAAAGCACGCCCACCGCCCACCCTGTTGGCCTGCGGTGGCCGGAAGTGTCCCGCCGTGGTGTCCAGCGGGTGTCCCGTCGGTGTCCCGTCGGTGTCCCGTCGGTGCCCCGTAGTGGATAGCGAGATCCAGAGTGAGACCGATAGTGAGACTGATAGTGAGAGGGGTCGTGAGATCGGTCGTAGACAGTGAGATCGATCGCGAGATCGATAGTGAGACCGATCGCGAAAGGGGAAAGGGATAGTGATATCGGTGATTAGATCGTGGTGTCGATTGTTAGATCGTTTGTGACATCGATCGTGAGATCGATAGTGATGCCGATCGTGAGATCGATAGGGAACTCGATTGTTAGATCGATTGTGCGTACATGTATACAAATATAGGTAGTGAGATCGACTGGGTGAGATCGATCATCGGATCGATACTGATGTCCCGTCGGTGCCCCATGGGTGTCCCGTCTGTGCTCCGCAGTAATATCGACACTGAGATCGATAGCGAGATCGATAGTTAGACCAGTAGTGAGATCGATGATGATAGAGAGATCCATAGTGAGATCGATAGTGAGATCGATAGTGAGATCAATGGTAAATCGTCAACCACATCGATAGCAAGATCGATAGTGAGTTCGACAGCGAGATCAATAGTGAGACAGGTAGTGATATCGATAGTGAGATCGATAGGGTAATCGATAGTAAGATCGGCAGTGAAATCGATAATAAGATCGGGAGTGAGATCGATAATGAGAACGACAGCTAGATCGACTGTGAGATCGATGTGATCTCAATGGTGAAATCGGTTGAGTGAGGCGTTGGTTCCTGCTCACCCCCCCGAACCTCCTTATTAACCGAAGGGTGGTGGTATAGGTGTTATTTTTTAGCGGGCCTAAACTCTCGACGCCCGCCATGTTCGCAGAAGCGAGAGCGGCTGGCACGAGGGTTTTGGGTGCCCGCTATGGCCGACATCGGCGCGCTACCCCAGCCAAAGCTAGCAGCCAAACCTGTCTTAGACCGACTGAAATGAACCAGCTGCTTCTATGATTCGCGACAACGCCCGTGACCGATTCCACGCCCATCCCCCTGGTCACGTCACGCCTCGCGCCGGCGCGGTCTGGGAACTAGCCATTCCTGGGCATTGCCAGGCGGCGCCGGCGCCAATCGTGACGGGACCGGCCCCCTAATTACCCCATTTCCCCTGGTCACGCCCTTGATCGCCAGGGGATAAAATTTCCAGAGACGTACCCAACCTGTTTTCCACGCGGGGCGACTGTTTACATGAACGCGTGATTTAGAACCAAATTCAACGCTCTGCACCCTGTGATGCAAGAGCGCGGCGCGCTAAAGAACGGGACGGCGCTACGCGCCACGTAGGCACGCGCAATGTGTGGGCGGCCTGCGCTCAGCCGTGCCTCCCAGGAGCTCGCAAGAGTGACCACGGTTGCACGGTTCGCGGCGACAGTTGCACCATTTCGCAGCCCCCGAGGGAGCCGCGAAGTCTCAAAGGAATCTCCGCTGCCCTCACCTCGGCCGTGCGTCTGGGGCGCCCACGAAAGTGGCGGCCCCCGAGGGGGCCGCGAGGTCTCAAATTGATCCCCGCAGCCCTCACCTCGGCCTTGCCTCCCAGGAGCCACCAAAAATGGCGACGGTTGCGCAGTTCGCAGCCCCCGTCAGAGCCGCGAGGTCTCAGAGGGATTCCCGCTGCCCTCACCTCCGCCGTGCCCCCTGGAATTCAACGAAAATGGATACAATTTTGCAGTCCGCAATCCCCGACGGAGCCGCGAGGTCTCAAACGGATCCCCGCTGCCTCATCTCATCCGTGCTTCTCAGGAGCCCACGATGGCGACGCCTTGCGCAGTTCGCAGCCCACCAGTAAGAAAGGTACAAGCACGGGAGGCAAGGAGGCGGGAGGCAGGAGGAGACGGGAGGAGGGGGCAGGAGGCAGGAGGAGGGGGGTGCAGGAGAAGGAGGAGGAGGAGGAGGAGGAGGAGGAGGAGGAGGAGAAGGAGAAGGAGAAGGAGAGGGAAGAAGAGAAGGAGGAGGAGTAAGGATGAAGAGGAGGAGAAGGAGGAGGAGGAGGAGGAGGAGGAGGGGGAGAACGGAGAAGGAGGAAGGAGAAGGAGGAGGAGGAGGAGGAGGAGGAGGAGGAGGAGGAGGAGGAGGGGGGGCACGGGGGGCAGGAGGAGGGGGAGAAGGAGGAGGAGGAGGAAGGGAAGACAGGAGGAGGGGAGGAGGATGAGGAGGAGGGAGAAGGAGGAGGAGGAGGAAGAGGAGTGGAGGAGGAGGAGAGGAGGAGGATGGAGGAGGAGGAGGAGGAGGAGGAGGAGGAGGAGGAGGGGCACGGGGGGCAGGAGGAGGGGGAGAAGGAGGAGGTGGAGGAGGAGGAGGAAGGGAAGACAGGAGGAGGAGGAAGGGAAGACAGGAGAAGGAGGGAGGAGGAGGAGGAGGAGGAGGAGGAGGAGGAGGAAGAGGAAGAAGAGAAGGGGGAGGGGGAGGACGGAGCCCACAGCGCTGCATTCAAAACGAGAGCCCAGCACAGGAGTGTTGGGAAAACTGTCTCAACTTCTGCCCGCACATACTATCTACCGCCTGGCAACGTGGAAGAAGATCGGCTTCCCAGGCGGCACACATGGAAAACTGCTCGGCGGCGCGACCAGGGGGAGGTGAGACGGGGTAGGCCTTCTCAGAAGGCGGAGGGGCTTCTCAGAAGGCAGGAGGAGCCGCTGGAACGCATCCCGAGGCCTGAATACACCGCCGAGAACCAACGAAAACGCCCAGAAACCGGGAACCTCGAACCCGAAGCCCAAACTTCCCCCCTGGGCTCGCCGCCGAGCGGCTACGTCCGAAACTCGGATCCTCGCCGCCCGTCCGCTCGGCCAGCGCGAGCAACTTGCTGTTGGCAGACTTCGCCATCGCAGTGATCTGGCGACCCCTCGCCGAGGCCCAGGCAGGCAGAAATACATCGGCACAGGTTGCAGGATTCCCCATATTCCTCCATGCGTGCCCTGGATGTCCCCCTCCCCCTACAATTCCACTCTCAGGCATCCGACGCCTCGATGTTTTCGACTCGGGCCCCCGACCTCTCGACCACGTCCCCAACACCTGGTTCTCACCCCGAGTCGTGTTTTCAGGGTCCCGAGGCCCGGTGAGGGCCTCGAGAGGCCGAAAATGATGAAGGAGAAGCTCCGTCCAGGCGCCAGATGTCTTTGAGATTCCCCCCATACGCTCATAAACAAAAACCAGGGCTTGCTTGCTTACCCGTGCACCGATGCATTTCCCTCCGGGTGGGGAGCGGGCGGAGGCGGGCGCCCGCGGAGGGAAACTTGCCCTGGTCCCCCCCCCCTGCGCGGCCTACTTTCCCAGAACACCAGCCTCAGGGAGCAGAGAAACCACCCTCAGAATAAGCACCCCGACAAGCGAAGCCATTTGCGGGTCTTTCGCGAGATGGCACAGCGACCTTACGCGGCGGCTCACGCGGGCACCCAGCGCGGCACGCTACATTGAAGGCGCGGGCGCTTACGCGCGACCTTACGCGGGGAGCTTACGCGCCAATGTCGGCACAGACGACAGCTTTCTATGTTGCGTCGCCCACTCAGCAAGCACACCCAAGGAAGAACTCGAACAGCCCACGGCCGCTTCGCAAATGCCGATGATCGGGGTCGGGCTGGTCTCTCCTCCCATGATGCCTTGCCTCCCAAGCCCTTGTTGGACGGCCCCCGTCGAGCCCTGCAAGCATCGCGACGGTAGAGGTCTCTCCCTATCTTCGCGGGACGCGCGCGCGCGCCCTGGACCTCGGAGCTTCCTCCCCCCACTAGACCGACCCTTCCTTCCCCGGGACCGGTCATTCTCGGCCCGAGTCGTTTTGTGACGGTCCCGAGGCCGAGCGAGGGCCCCGAGAGGCCGAGGATGACGAAGAACGCCTCCGTCGCTCGAGCTTTTCGAGGCGCCCGACGTCTGGGGGGCCACTGGGGGCCGAGGTCCTGAAAGAGCCCTGGCGTCGGGCCCGAAGGGCGCCGAGAGCCCGAGAGATCATCGGAGGAGGACCAGGGCTCCGAGGCAGCGGCGGCGCTCCCAGCCCGCAGATCTCTGCACCCTCCCGAGGTCCAGAAAGGCCAACTCTCAGGGGTGCAACGGGGCCGCGAAGGGCAGCGAACGGGGCCACGAAGGGCGGCAGCGGGGCCACAAAGGGCAGCGAACGGGGCCACGAAGGGTTGCAACGGGTCCACGAAGGGCAACGAGGGCCTCCTAGTTGGGGTCCGAGTATCGCGCCGCATCTCCACGGCATCGCCAATGTGTCGGCGCTGCATTGGCGACGTCGGCGTGGCAGAACACAGACTCCACATCGAGCCGCCTCGTCGATGCATCGGCGATGCGGCGCGATCCTCCGACCCCATCTACACGGACCCCATTTCGGAGGCCCATACAGATTCTCGGGCGGGGGGGGCAAAGCAAAGCAAGGCCCCCTCGGGCCATGAAGAAATCTTCACGAACGGCTCTTCGCTTCGCTCGGCCTCCAATGGCCCTCGCCGGGGGCCCCGGGAGCGTCGAACAACTGTTGCCGCTTTCGGTCTCCGGGGGCCCTCCCCGGGCCCCAGGAGCGTGGAAAAACGGCTCGGGATGAGAAGCCGGTCCAGGGGCACGGCCAGACCTCTGGGAGCCGACGTCAGACAATAAATTAGCCTGGCGAAGGACCCAACCATATGCAGTTGTGAATGCCGCAATTGTGCTGGGTGGTGGCGGACGCATGCGGGCGGTGCCACTGGGACCTTCGGTGGAGCTCCCTCCACGAAACGCTGTACTGGGTGGGTGAGACGCGGTCAGCAAGGGCTGTGCTGCGTGGTGGCGGACGCACGCGAGCGGTGCCACTGGGACCTTCGTTGGAGCTCCCTATGGGGCCACGAAGCGCTGTACTGGGTGGGTGAAACACAGGCAGGGAGCAAGGGCTGTGCAGGGTGGTGGCGGACGCATGCGGGCGGTGCCGCTGGGACCTTTGGTGGAGCTCCCTATGGGGCTACGAAGCGCTGTTCTGGGTGGGTGAAGCGCAGGGAACAAGGGCTGTGCTGGGTGGTGGCCGACGCGAGCGGGCAGTGCCACTGGGACCTTTGGTGGAGCCCCCTATGGGGCCACGAAACGTGCGAGGGGTGTGCCAAAATGGGGTGTGGAACCGCATGCCAGCGCAGCCACTGGGGCCTTCGGTGGAGCTCCCTATGGAGCCACGAAACGTGTGAGGGGTGTGCCGAAATGGGGGGTGGAACCGCATGCGAGCGCAGCCACTGCGGCGTTCGGTGGAGCTCCCTATGGGGCCACGAGACGTGTGAAGGGCGTGCCGAAAAAGGGAGTGGAACCGCATGCGAGCGCAGCCACTGGGGCCTTCGGTGGAGCTCTCTATGGGGCCACGAACCGTGTGACGGGTGTGCCGAAATGGGAGGGGGGGGGGAACCACATGCGAGCGCAGCCACTGGGGCGTTCGGTGGAGCTCCCCATGGAGCCACCCACGAAGCGTGTGAGGGGTGTGCCGAAATGGGGGGTGGAACCGCATGCGGGCGCAGCCACTGGGGCCTTCGGTGGAGCTCCCTATGGGGCCACGAAGCGTGTGAGGGGTGTGCCAGAATGGGGGGTGGAACCGCATGCGGGCGCAGCCACTGGGGCCTTCGGTGGAGCTCCCTATGGGGCCACGAAACGAGTGAGGGGTGTGCCGAAATGGAGGGTGGAACCGCATGCGGGAGCAGCCACTGGGGCCTTCGGTGGAGCTCCCTATGGGGCCACGAAACGTGTGAGGGGTGTGCCGAAATGGGTGCGGCGCCGCCATGCGCCCGCAGCCACTGGGCCCTTCGGTGGA